GGCACTTGTTGCTTGCCGAGCCATCCCGCTGAGTGCCGTGCCTCGGTTTCCCTGTGCTCCCAGCAGCGCTGGGGGGGATGCCTCACACCAGCTGCAAAATGGGGGGTACAGCCCTTATGGAAGGGGGAGTGGGGCCAGCCCCCCACCCACCTCCATTGCTCGGAGCATGCTGGGTAATTTCACGCTAATTAGGGAGAACAAAGAACGAGTATGGGGTGGGGGGAGGATGGGAGGGGGACACGGTGGTCTCATCACCCCTGCAGGGTTAGGGGATGGGGATGGGATGGGGGCAGACAGCGGGATGGAGCTGCGTGAGGTCTGCGAGGTGGGGTCTTTAGGGGGCTGTATGCAGGGACACCGGGGCTGCCCAGACCCCAGTGTCCTCTCCTGTCCCCAGGATGGTAGCAGGGGACCGATGGACCCCATGGGCATCTCTGACCTGGGGATGGGGAAACCAGAGACGGCAAGCACCACCCGTACCTGCGGTTCCTCCGCTCCCAGGCGTGGAAATCCCATGGGGTTGGTGGGGAAAGAGCTATTCTGCAGGGGAGGGGGACGCATGGTTCATCTCTACCCGCAGATCTACCGGCGGTGCTGGCTCGTCTTCCGCAAATCCTCCAGCAAAGGGCCCCAGCGCCTGGAGAAGTACCCAGATGAGAAGGCAGCGTGCCTGCGGGGCTGCCCCAAGGTGAGCAGCCACGGCCAGGGGGTGCCACGCATCAACCCCCCCCTTCACCCCCAGCACCGCCGCGGTGACACCGTGCCACCCCTCCAGGTGACCGAGATCAGCAACGTCAAGTGCATCACGCGGCTGCCCAAGGAGACCAAGAGGCAGGCGGTGGCCATCGTCTTCGCCGACGACTCTGCACGCACCTTCACCTGCGATTCGGGTACGGGGTGACGCTGCGGGCTGGGCGACGGCGGGCGACGAGGCCTCGCTTTGCCACGCTGTGTGCCTTGCAGAGCTGGAGGCTGAGGAGTGGTACAAGGCTCTGTCGGTGGAGTGCTTGGGTGCCCGTCTCAATGATATCAGCCTGGGGGAGCCCGACCTGCTGGCGGCCGGCGTGCAGTGCGAGCAGACGGGTGAGCGTGGAGTGGGGCACTGGGCTCAGCCCTGCTGCGGCCGTGCTGAGATTTTGGGGTTTTTCTTCTTTTTTTGGTGGATTATTACTATTATTATTTTATTTTTTTTCCCCAGACCGGTTCAACGTGTTCCTCCTCCCCTGCCCCAACCTGGACGTGTACGGCGAGTGCAAGCTGCAGATCACCCACGAAAACATCTACCTCTGGGACACGCACAACCCGCGCCTCAAGCTGCTCTCCTGGCCCCTCTGCTCCCTGCGCCGCTACGGCCGCGACGCCACGCGCTTCACCTTCGAGGCGGGACGGTGAGATGGAGACAGGCACACCCAGCGTCCCCCCCAGGCCTGACGCCGGGCTGAGGGCTGCCATAGGGTGGGTGCCCTGTAGCTGTAGGGCCGCTCCAGGCCCTTCTCGGGGCCACCCACGCGCCCAGCCCTGCAGGAGCCATGGGGGGAGCCGCTTAGGCTCCGCCAGGCCTGGCTATATTAGGAACTTTCCTGCTAATTACCAGCTCCAGAGGGGAAGAAACATGATCTTTCCTTTCATCCCGGCCCTATGGCTTCCGCTGACTCACCATGCCTGGCGCGAGGGGAGGGGGCGGCGGGGCCGGCCGCGGGACGATGCTGGCTGGGAAGAGCACCCGTGGGTGCTGAGGGGCTGTGCTGCGGCCTGGCCCACCCCGTGCCATTGTAATGCCCCTCTGCTCTGACACCGTAGGATGTGCGATGCAGGAGAGGGCCTCTACACCTTCCAGACGCAGGAAGGCGAGCAGATCTACCAGCGTGTGCACAGCGCAACGCTGGCCATCGCCGAGCAGCACAAGCGGGTCCTGCTGGAGATGGAGAGGAACGTCAGGGTGAGGCACAGCCCGTGGGATGGTGGGACGCCTGGGGCAGCTGGTGCCCTGTGGGGTGGGCTCACGTGTGTGCCGTGCTCGCCCCCAGCTGCTGAACAAGGGCAGCGAGCCCTTCTCCTACCCCTGCACGCCCACCACCATGCTGCCCCGCAGCGCCTACTGGCACCACATCACCGGCTCGCAGAACATGGCCGAGTCCTCCAGTTACGCCGGTGAGTGTCCTCAGGGCCCCGCAGGGACCCCGCAGCCCCTCAGCCACCCCCACGCTGTGCTTTGTCCCCAGGTGAGCCCTATGCGGGTGCCCAAGCCGGCTCGGACACCGACCTCCTTGACAGGTTCATCCTGCTGAAGCCAAAGCCCCCCGGCGGTGACCAACCTGAGATCAGGGAGCCCACCTCGTCCCCGTGATGGGGGGTGCTCTGCAGCCCCTTCCTTCCTTTCCGGGGGTGTCCAGGCCCTGGGAAGCCGCAGAGCCCTTGTTTGCAGGGAGATGGCATCAGGGCATCCTCCAGGCCCGGCAGCTGAAGCTCCAGGAGGTGACGGCTCGCTGCGCTCAGTGACTTCAAATATATATTGCCTATCCATATTATACAGTCAGATATTTCCTTCAAAGTTCATCGCCCCCAAGGAGACCTCAGGAAGAGGAGATGCTCGCAGAGATCTTTGGCTCTTGGGCTGGGAGATGGAAAAGAGGTGGGGGCGAAGAGGTTCGGCCAATTTTCTGCAGGTAGGAAGGAAGGACGGCACTGCGCCCAGCTCACGTTGCACTTTGCAAAGAGCTCTGAACGCTGCAGGATTGGGATGTCTCAGGAGAAACTGGTTGTCCTTCTGCACCGAGGCCTCGGGCTGGGATGGGGGCTGAGCTTTGTACCCCAACCCACACACGTGCCACCACCGTGCCCACCTGCCAGGGGCAACCCAGGCACTGATTGTGGCCAGTAGCAGCCAGCGGGGAGCAGTGGGAGCAGGTGAAAGACCTCGCACAGGGGAGCTGGGCTTAATGGACTGAACTGAAAAGCAATTGATTTTCTAGTTCTCCTATTTATTGAACTCCTTTAGAAGGGCTATCTTTTTATTGCAGTACAACCCTCGGTGTTTCTTTCTTCTTTCGGTCTGGTTTGGTTGGTTGGTGGTTTTATTTCCTCCCTGAAAGCTCCAGGTCTGTGCTTTGGGAGCAGGGAGCGTTGTGATGTGGGAACCTGTGGTCTGTGGCCTGTAAATACTGTGTGTTGGGTCTGTGTAGCTTGTGGATGGGGCTGGGGAGCTGCGGGTGCATATGGGTCCCTGGGCACTGGCCACCCTCTGGTCAGGGGTGTAACCTGCTCTTTTCCTGGCTGCACGCCTCATCTGGAAAAGATTTCACATTTATTACCAAAAATATTAGGGTTTTTTTTTTCCTTTCTTTCTTTTTTTTTCTTTTTCTTTTTTTCTTTTCTTTTTTTTTTTTAAGGAATTGCTCAATTAATAAACAACCCTTATCCACCCTTCCTGTTTGTCTGTTCCATCCAAAGGCGCTCGGGAAGTACATGCTGGAGTATCGCATGCCAGAGAGCCAAAAATGCTGAGCAGGGGACATTTCCTCATGCTACAGGCAGCGTGTTTGGCTCCAAGCTTTGTTCTGCCTCCAGCGCTTGCAAGGACATTCCAAACGAAGCCCTGAAAGAGCTGAGGAGGAGAGAGGGGCATAGCAAGTCCCGCTCACACTCTCTCAGCCAAGTGTCACCGAGGAGCTCGTCCCACATCCTGGGTGCTGAGGAAGGGGAGAAGGGGTGATTGGGCAGTTCTTGGAGCCCTCCAGCCACTGCTGTGGCTCAGCACACAGCCAGCTCAGCCCACGCATGCTGCAGGCACAGCTAGAGCTGCCAGCTGGGGTTACCAGTGACAGCCTCTCCCAAACCCCACGACATACAGATTACACAGCACATGGGTAGAGTCTGCTCCAAAGGAGTCTTTAAACATGGCTAAGGCTCCTTGGCTCCCCTTCCCTGCCACTCTGCCTCGTGTGATGTGGCTCTTAGCAGCCCAGCCTTGAACATCTGCTTTAAACATAGTGCTGGAACTGTAAGGGACAGGACTACCTGCTGCAGGGGTTCTGGCATCCTTAGTAGATCACAGACCTTAGTAGCAGGTCAAGAGCAGCAATCGGCAGTTACAGAGCAACGCTCCCTCCAAAGCAGGTCTCATTAAGTTAATGTCTACTGGAGAGAACTAAATGATGTGTTATCTTCTCCTGCAGCCACGGATGAGCTTTCAGGGATGACTGAACACAGGGGTTAAGGCTTTATTCAGCACAGTTAAGGAATAGACATACAAACAGGACAGGGTTGTGTAACTGAGATACGCGCTTCCCAATCCCAAACCCTCTGTGACTACAGTCCAAAACTCTGGGCTCAGAGACAAAGCCCATCCCTACCCCAGCAAAGATTTTGTTCCTGCTTTGCCCTACGTGTCACTATGGCTTTCTCTGAGAAGTGCTGCTGACAAGCAGATCTGCACCAGGAGAGGCAGAGGGAGATGAGGAACCAATCCCTCAGCCCAGAGTGCTGCCAGGCAGAGGCAAAAACCTTCTGCATTGCTCCTGCCTGGACAATCTCCTGCAAAGGGCCACCTCAGTTTATAGTGAGCACGTCACTCTGGATCTCATGGCTCAGCTGGGTCTGGAGGTCACTCAACTTCTTCTTCAGGCCAGACAGTGCAGAGAGAACAATGGTTTCAGGGCGCAGAGAGCCGCAAGACTCCACGTTGTAATAAAACCTGAGGTTACAAGTCAGGGAGAAAGTTACCAAGTGCTCAGTGCAGAGGTGCAAAACCAGAGAGCACCCACACAGCAGTTCCAGCCCACGAGGATCCAACGCAGGGAGATCTGCTGGGAGCCCCAGCCACCAGCACTGCTGAGCTCCCAGCTAGGCACAAGCCAACGCTGCCCTGCAACAATAGCAGCCACAGACCCCCACAGAGCTCAGAGCAGCCCTCATGACCCTCAAAGATGCAAGAACACTTGTGAGATTTTCTCTTCTCAGCTATGTGATGTGAAAGCTGCACGAGGAAGCTAAGACTGACTGGCTGTCTGGCTGCAGGCACTCCTGCAGCACATATCACCTGGAAGAGAGGGTAGCAACAGCAATCAGAGCATGAGAGACTCACACGGGTGAATAATACTGCTGATGACATCAGTATCTCCAACATCACCCTAAGCCATCTCTCCAAGCCTCCTGACTGCAATGCTCTACCTGGTAACAGAAACTCAGAAGAGTCACCTAGTATCTCCCAAAGGGCAAAACCTTCCAGGCCTGGGCACATCACCAGTTAACTGCAACTCCTGCTTTGTTTTTCAGGGAGCAGCAGCTCTCTGTGCTGGCAAACTCTGGTTTAGCATATCTGACTCACACCAACAGCAAATGCAGTGCACCCAGCTCAATCCCCCACCTCCCAGCAGCAGGAGCACATCCAGCTTCCTTACCTCTCAGGCTTCCCATTGGGGTCGTATGGAGCCTGAGCATCCTCCTCATCAATCTCCGAGTATTCACTCTTGGGCCTGGAATCAGAGAGCAGGGAAGGTCAGCATTGGATCAAGTCATGGAAAAAAGTTCAATTTAATGTAGCCCTTTCTATTTCCTTCTATTTCCTGCCTTGAGCAGTCTGAGAAGCCAGCATAGGAAATTCCATGCCCACCATGGTCTCCTGCTGGCCTCCCTCAGACCCAGTGAGGCCAAGAAAGGCTGATCCTCATGTCCTGTCATCAGTGGTCCTCAATAAAACTGCACTTCCCAGCCAAACCCTCCACCTGCAACAAACTGCTGGGAAAGATAAAGCATTTATGGACCTTCACGTTACTTGCCACACCACCCATTACTGAAAATGGGGCAGACATTGAACCTCTTTCCACCACGTCTGCTTTGAGAGTCCAGCTGCATTCCAGTGCTCTGCCAACAGCTCAAAACACAGTGAGTACGTAAAACCCAAACCAAAACAATAACTATCCTTGGATAGCAGAGGCATTTGTCTCTGTATTGTCTTCACTAGGAGCAAGATGAACTTGGAAAGAAATCCATTATCATCAGGGAACACACAGCTTTAACAGTAATCAGCATTTCTTTAGGTCCTGCAAACTTTGACACACATTTTGTCAAGAACCTCTCAAGAGCTGCTTCCAGGCACCCAGCTTACTGCCCCAAACACCAGGCTCATGAGGACACAGCCCAGTCTGCCACCAGACAAAGGGATCTGCATCAGCACTGCCTTGGGCCACCCAGACAGGTAACGCCTCGCTGCAAAGGAACACGGGCTCAACCTGTCACTTCTTAACATCCAGCATTACAGAAATTAAACCAGAGAATTTTTGCGGCACCACAACGAAGCCTAAAATTATTTCAAATCCTGATTTGAAATTCCACATCACAGAGACGTTCCTGCTTCACAACCATCCAGCCTACAACCCAGACAATCAAACAAATTTTGGTGCAATTTACCTGCCATGAATCGTTTGGCAATTACAAAACTCTCCAGTTCTGCCCTCAAAGTGATGGTGACAGAGGCCAGTTCTGCATACCAACACTACTGATGTGCCCATGACAGAGATACTGCAGAGCAGCAGCCTGCTTGGCCCACCCAGACTGACTGAACCAGACCACAGAGGTGTCCTACAGAGCCCATCAAAGCCAAGCTCTGGGGTTTTGTTCCTTCTATCCATAAAAATGGCCTGGGATTGTTCTCAGAATCTGGGCAGAGTCCCTTTGACAGAAAACAGCTGGCAGACAGGTGGAGGTGTGGAATACAGGCTAACTGCTGCTCTCAGCAGCTCCTTTACTGAGAGCTGCCTTAGCAAGGGGCAACATAAGCAAGGCAATGGGTTTGAGTGTGTAGGCTCAAAGCGGACAGCGAGGAAGAACAACAGGCATTTTTGGAGTCGAGCCTGGCAACGCAGGGCCTGAGCAGGAGGAAAGCCTGCTGAGCCCCTTCTGCTGCACAGCCTCCTGTCCAGCTGCAGCCCTGCTCAGGCTTCTGTTCCCCCCGGTTTCTGCAGTCCCTGCACCAAATCCTGCTTCTGCATTGAGGTCTTCCTGACCTTGCACAGCTCTGCCTGCTGCCCTGCAGTCGTGGCAGCTCATCTGTTGTCCCTTCTAGCTCCTGCTCGCTGCTGCCTTAGCTGAAGCACCCGGTGCCTCTCTGCTGCCAGCTCCAGCTTGCTCAATGGCAGCATGTCTACTGCGATGTGAGTTTGTACAAGAAAAAATGACACATAGTGACCCAAATTATGCCCTGGGCTAAAATGACAGAGTCATAAAACGGTTTGGCTTCAAAGGAACCCTTAAAGACCACCCAGTCCCATCCCTTTGCCTTGAAGCTGTACTGTTTTCTGCTTGGACACTGTGTTGATTGTAACTCTTTGAATGTGGCACGCTCCTATCCAGCCAAGTCCCTGTCTTCCTTAGTTTTCCCAACTGTACAGAAACTGTTGAGTCACGGCCTGAACCACTGATGGAGCACCTGGGGAAAGGACCCGGTCAGCCCTGGGAGCACAGGTGAAGGCAATTCAGCTGTGTGACTGGAAGGGGTGGAGCCTGGCTGTACCTCTCTTAGACCTCATTTAAGGGCTGACTGCTACTGGGGAAGGATCTCTGGTTGGGGATTCCTCTCTTGCAGAGTTTCTACTGAGAGCCTAGATCTTCAGAGACAGGTGAGTACTTCCCTTTTTTTTTTTTGTAATGTCTTCCTATTGTGTTGGTCTCGTTGCTGTTACACCCATCCCTGTGCAGCATCTCTATTTTCTTCCCAGGATACATGGCTCTGGTTCCACTGCTTATGTAGCTCCTTCCTTTGACCAGGAGGTCAGCCACACTGGTCTCCTGCCTTCCTTGCCTGATTTCTTATAAATGGGAATTAAGAGTTCTTGTGCCTTAACAAGAACATCTCTGAAGAGCTGCCAGCTCTTCTGCTCCTTTATCACTAAGGATAACTCCTCAGGGGGTCCCACCCATTAATTTCTTACAAAACTGAGAATTTGCTCTCCTAAAACTCAGGGTCCTGACTGTACTCTTTGTTTGAGATCACAAATTCCACAAGGGTACAATTAGCACAGCCCAGGTTGTCACTATTCTTGGTCTCTCCAATTAGTTCATCTGTGTTGGTGAGTAACAGACCCAGTAACTGCCAATTACTAATACTTCACGTGCTTTTCTTGTGGCACAGGTTCTAATGCAAGTGGGTGGTTTATCCGTTACTCAGGTGCTCTTCATTCTCCCTACACAAAGCACCTGACTGTTGTGTAAGAGCTCTTTAGGGGGTGAGGGAAACTAGGTGTAACCTGGGAAATCTTCAAGTCCTTCCTGACTGATGCAGCCTTAGTTTATCCCAGGGATCCAACAGCAGTGAAACAGAAACAAAGAATACAGAAACACCCCAGCAATTAGGTTCAGCAGCCCTTGAGTGTCAGACTGAAGTTCTACAGCTGCCATTGTACTGGATATTGTAGGTTGGCCTTCGTGCTACATCTCTCACCCCAAACAGGGCCAGCCTGGCCATATGCTTTAGTCAACCATGACATACCACTCCTCTGGCTTGGGGTACACTGTATGCCTCAGCGCGTTGTCTGGGTCGTACTCAAAGGCTACACCTGCTGTGGGGTTCCACTTGGCGTGCTCCTTGCCAAAGCCCTTCTTGGCATAGGCTCTCAGCTTCAGCTCCTGGCCCTTTCGCAGCTTCACAATCAGGATGTCTACAGAAAAGCACATGCCCAGTGTGAGAAGGCTGATGAGAAGAAATGAGCGTGCAGGATTGCACAAGGGAAAAGGCAGGAATTATTAGTGCCCAGGATGATGTCACCAAAAGCCAGGCCTTGATTGGATTATTAGAGGGGCTCTCTATGTCCTCAGAGTAGCTAAGGAGCATCCTGCTAAGTACAAAAGTTGCAGGCATGCCCAAAAGCACAGCTTAGGCCCCCAAGTACATGCTGCAGCACTTAGCATTTTTGTTCTCTAAGTTCTTCAAAACTGAAGAGAGCAGTGCTCTCTGACACAGGACACTTGTTTGTTTACTAACACAAAATGCTAACCCTACTGATGCTGATGACTCTCATCTGTCAGTTTTGGATGTCAGCTCCAGGTTTATACAACTAGTAAACAAAGGATGGGGTTCAGAGATCGAAGAGGAAAACCCATTTCCTTTAGCAGCTCTTACTCCCTGCTGAATGCCACTTACCATCCTGTTCCACGTAGTCGTTGGGATCGTTGTCTCTGCTCCGAGATGTTACCTGCAGGAGAACAAAAGCAAGGAAACTAATGAGAATGCCAACCTCATGGACAGCATTACCTACTAAAATGTCTGCAGAGTGACTTAGCAACAAACACAGCCCACCCTATTTAATGGAAATCAGGGCAATTTAGACAGCTGCAACTCAGTTTGTGACATCCTGCTCCATCAGACTGCTCACTCCCACAGGATAAAGAGGATCACAGTCTGTGTCCAGTGCAGCTGCTTGGTTCTGCAACAGTTCAGAGTCACCCATGATACTGCTGGAAGATGATGCATGGCACTCACAACACCACAGCTGAAGCAAGAGACTGCAAGCTGTATCTATTGCCTTAATTAGGCACTCTGGAACAAATTTCACCACCAGAAGCAGCCCCCAGGCTGTGGTGATGCAGGCTCAGAGCAGGGCCCCTCCAGCTGACAGCTTTTTCAAATATTCTCCATGAAGTCCCTTTGCATCTGCTCTGCTTTGGCTTTGCCAACCCTCCCCAAGGTGACTGGGCAAGAGCCATTTGGCAGCAGTGCCCTGGCCCAGGCTCCTCACACCTTGCCATCCCGAGAGCCAAGAATCAGAAAGCTGGGGGCCTTTGGGCTCCTGCCAAGCATTTGAAGGTGCTGACCTTGCCAGAGCCCTGGCAGCAAGCGTGTAGAAGGATGCAGCAGCACAACAGGAGGACACAAGTGCACCTGCTCCTGGTATTCAAGGCAAGACAAATAGGCTGCCTCACCCATGAGATGAGGATGCAGGGTAAGGCTTCAACAAGGCCATAGTGGCTTAGACGTTATCAGACAGCAAGTGAAAATTAGACAGCAAAAAGAAGGACAATGACACACAACTCCGTTTCTGCAAATATTCCTGCTTTCTGCTCCCATTATATCCTAAGTGAGGATTTAAGGCAGTATGAGATGTTCCTGAAAGCCTTCTTTTGTCCATACCCCACGCATTAGCCACCCCAGCCTCAATGGGAATGCAGAGAGGGGACATGCTGACAGGCAGGGATTGCACAGACCGGAATGACACGGGGGTTGTTGGAGATGAGGTCACGGGATGTGACGTGCCGAGTCTGGTCCTCATTGCAGCGGACATCAAGGGTGAACTCCACAGAGCACTCTGGACAGAATTCATCACATGTGCAGTCCTGGAACAGACACAGGTCAAAGTGCTCTCAGCAAGAATTTATAGGACTTCCCATCGGATCAAGCACCCACCATCTAAACAAGCACCTGAGACATTTTGCTTTACTCACTCTGGAATATTGCATCTTATCCACGATGTCATCGCTAGTGAGTGGGATGAGACCTGTGGAAAGAGGGCAGTGAGACATGGCTGGGTGAGATGGGGGGGATGCAGAGAAATAGCAGCCTTGTGATAAAGGGGTTGCAACAGTCAGTCTGGAGACAACTTGTGCCCGGCACTCACCCAGTCTGTGGGCAATGAATTCATCATGAAGCACCGAGGAGTTGGCATCTATCTGGACCCAGTCAATAGCTGCAAGGAAGAACAAAATGAGCTGAGAACAAGCTAAACAAGGGGGAATCTAAACCTAACAGAGGGGAGATTTAGGTAAGATGTAAGAAATGCTTCACTCAGAGGGCAATGAAGCCCTGGTATAGCTGCCCAGAGAGGTTGTGGATGCTCCACCTGTGGAGGAGGCACTCAAGGCCAGGCTGAAGGGGATCCTAGGCAGCCTTACATTAGGAAATACTACTTTTCTGAACGAGTGGTCAAGCACTGGAATGGGCTGCCCAGGGAGGTGGTGGAGTCACCGTTCAAGGAACGTTTGGATGTTGTGTTGAGGGACGTGGTTTAGTGAGAACTACTGGCAATGGGTGGATGGTTGGACTGGGAGGTCGTTTCCAACCTCGGTGGTTCTGTGATTCTGATGGGGTAGAGGGCACGCAGCATACGGCAGGATTGGAGCTCGATGACCTTTCAGGCTCCCTCCACCCTCAGCCATTCTCTGGCAGCCGAGTGCATTATTGGGCACAGCAGAGCACTGCCTGCAGGGCGCTAGCCGGGTGCAAGCAGCGTGGAGGGGAAACCGCCAGACAAAAAAAGCAAAGAAACCAGTACCTATAATGGGCACCTCCGCTATGAACACCCTCCGGATGGAGTTGGCCACGCTGCAAGAAACACCTCCGTTCAGCGCCCGGAACCGCGGCCCAGCCCAGCTCCCGCAGCCCCGCCCGCGGCCTCCCCACACCTAGGCCCTCCCCACCGCCCCGCGGAGCCCTCCCGCCGCGCCCCCTCCCCTCAGCCGGCTTCGGGACGGGCCCCCCCCGGGGCGCCGCTCACGCCAGGTCGGTGTTCTCGATGATGAATTTGACGTTCTCGTCCGTCAGCTCGGTGATGCGCACCGTGGGCTGGTTGGCGTACGGCATGGCCGCCCTCGATGGTGCGTTGCTAGACCGCCGCCGCGCCCGTCCCGCCGCCCGCGCGCGCCCCCTGCCGGCCCGGAGGACCCGACCCACCCGGCCCGCTGCGCGAGAAGAAGGGAGGCGTGCGGAGGTGAGTGCGGGGTTTTATTGGTGCTGCGGGGAAACGACGCTCCGTTCTCGCTCCTGTGCGGCTCCGGAGAGCAGGGATCCGTCCTCAACGGCGCTGGTTCAGCCCCGTCAGGTTGGTGATCTGTGGGCAGATGGGGCGCTGTCAGACACGGGCAGTGGGGGGCGCGCAGCAGGGTGTGGGTAATGCGGGATGGACCCCGTAATGGTGTAGAATCCCGAGTTAGAAGGGACTCGTACTGCTTGTGGAGTCAGTGCTCCATGGCATCACCCTAACCCTGTATCTGTGCTGGGAAATGCTCCCACGCTCCAACCATAACTGCAGGTGGAGGTAGAAATAGAATCATAGAATTACTCAGGTTGGAAGGATCATCAAGTCCAGCCTAACCATAGTACCCTAACTCTAACAACCCTCTGCTAAATCATATCTCCAAGCACCACATCCAAACGGCTCTTAAACACATCCCAACCACCTCCCTGGGGAGCCTATTCCAATGTTTAACCACCCTTTCTGTAAAGAAGTGTTTCCTAATGTCCAACTTAAACTTACCTTGACGCAACTTGAGGCCGTTTCCCCTCGTCTTGTCACCTGTCACCAGTGAGAAGAGACCTACCCTGCTCTCACTGTAAGCACCTTTCAGGTACTGGAAGAGAGTAATAAGGTCTCCCCTCAGCCACCTCTTCCCCAGACTGAACAGCCCCGGCCCCCTCAGCCTCTCCTCATAGGGCTGATTTTCCAAGCTCAAATGCTTGAGAGCTGCTTCAGATAGTGAAAATGAGGTCTAGTTTATGCAACAGGCAGTTTGGATTTCTTGTGTTGTTAATCATGAGCTCATCCTGCAGCTTTGGATGTATTTTTTCAGCACAGAAAAGCAATCTGGGCCCAAACTACCAAGAAAATCATCTTTACGTGTATTTAAGCTACAAAGAACAACTTTCTTTTATGCTGTAATTCAGATTCAGGAGGGAAGACACGCTAGTGTTAAGTGTGGAAGGGAGCGTAACGATCCTGCCCTCACAGCCTTGCTGACTTCAGCATTACTTACAGTAACTGCAGCTCCCATCAGGCCCTGGGCAAGTGCTTTGCCAGTTGATTGTACCTAGGAGACAGGAGAATTAGCTTTCCTCTGCAGTTACACTTGTGGGTACCCAAACACAAAGGTGTCAACAAATGTGTATTTGCTACAGAAAGATGCTGATGTAAGCCAAGCGTCACAGCCAAAGGCTACCCAAAGATAAACAAGGAAGGGATTTCCTGGAAGCACACAACTCCCAATCATCAGATCAGTCAAAGAGGGGCACCTATGTGTTATTTTATTACAGCATACATAAGCAATTACTGATGCAGAACTGCCTGCCCCCAGTACACCAGGGGTCTTTCAGCAAGCATGAGATGAAACAGCCAGCCTTGTCTGCACACATGTTGGTATGTGGGGGATGCTGTGTGTGTACCTGGCCCACTGAGTTACCTGCTGAGCTGCACTGCTCATGTTCATGGCATCAGCTACTCTGTTTTCCAGGAAACGCCACGTGTCTTCAAAGTCAGGGGATGTATCCTGCATCATCACCAGTTCTGTGGTGTTGTAGATGCCAGTGAGCACAGCCCGACGAGTGTACCAGTTAATCTGCAAGGGCACGGATTGAGAGAGAGATGAGCTGAGTGCAGATCACAAAAGTGGCCCTGCAGAATCACAAGGGAAAACAACACGCCATCTCCTCATTGTTAGCAACTGGGCTGTCTGTGGTCAGAGAAACTGCTCAGTAAACAGCCCTAGGACAACACATTCCTTCCTGACAAACTGCAGCTCGCCTCTGTGATGCAATGGGCAGCCAGCCAGCACGGACATCTGACAGCACAGCTGCTCCTGTGGCACCAGGCGAAGATTGTGAGTACTAGGTATAAAACCACAGAACACAATTGCCACCACCTGCTTCTGGTTGCAAGCATGTACCTACAGCAAATGTACCCAGCTGGTCGGCTGTGTTGTGCGAGGGTTTATCTTTGCCTTAAAGACTGCTAGCAGGAGATGCAACACTCAGATTCTAGATGTGATGGCTGTATTTAGAAATGAACTCCAAGTGCAGTTTGCACAAGGTACGAAAGTGTAGAAAGGGGACAAAGTGATGACAGAACTGTGCAAGGCATCACAGAGATGCACCTTTCCCAAATCCTATCACTGGAATACCAGTATTGCCTGCTCTATCATTAAATGTGTCAGTACATTGCTGGCAGCAGTGCTGTAGGATGTATTACAACAGCAGGTTACACAATGCAAAAATTCACAGCTAACTCAAACTCTTTAGCTTTTCCAGTTGCTCCAGATTCACTGACAGACAAAATGTATATGCACTTTTAAAAACAGGTCTTCAACTTCATTTGCTGCTTCCTTCGTTACAGTGATTAAAATATGCGAGTACCTAGAAAAAATATGGGCTGTTCCATTCATGATTATAATGCAACAGGAGAATGAAAACACTAATTTAATTTTGAAAACAGTCAAATTGAAAGCTCTGCTATCCGCATCACAACTCACAAAGTGTAACAAGGTAATGTGAGTTGTCACCATTTGCAGATGGATCTCCAATGCATCTGAGACCAAACTCCTGCTCCTTGTCTAGCATCCCACAAAAGCTCTTCAGGGAGGAAACTCTGAGTCTGTTTGACCTTCATAAGCCATAAGGGACTTGCATTTTCTGATGCAATCACAGTCTTTCAGGTTTTCTTTTTCTAGATTATTCCTTTAATTTTTTCTGTCCTCTTATTTATTTTCCACTGCCGTAACTTCTCTTTCATACTCAGATAAAAGAAGTTTATTAAAGTAGTTTGTTAAATGGTTCATGCAGCTTTTCCCTACATCTATATGAATTAAAATAATTTATTAATTGCTTTAACTAAGGTTATAATTTCCTTTTATTCCCTGCCAGAAAGATGAAAGCTTTAATAAGCTACCGGTATTTTTAGGTAGATTCTTTAAAGTTTTCAAGTTAAATCTGTCAATGCTGCTGTTGCTGAAAGAGGCAACTGCTTGCTAACTGAAGTGGATCAACTTCTTAGCCTCAAAATCTCAACAATTTTGTCTGTCTCCCTCAAAAAGAATGGTGATTAATTGAAAGTAGGTCCTTTTAATTTGCACAACTCCCATTGGAAATAATTTGCCCTATTGGCTTCGGTGTCTTGTTGAAAACTGTAGTATAGCTTCTGGAGACCTTTGGGGACTTTTGAATGAAGGAGATGCTTTCAGAAAATGGATTGTATCAAAAGAGACGCAGCTCAATGCCTGTTTCTACTTGTCATTTTCCTGAGGTGCGGATGGGAAGAAGCAGCCTGTCTGCAAGGTGCAAGGACTTACATCTGTGGACTGGTCTCCAGCATGGTGCCATATATCATCAATCATGCTGGTGAGGAGGTTGAGGCTCGAAGGGATGTTATGTGGGAGCAATAAGATGCTGACAGCCTGAGAAAGAAATACACAGATAAATGGAAGAGGCAAAGAGAGGAGGACACTGCATGAAAACAGATCAATGTTTCTTTGCAGTTATCTTTTCTTGTTGCTGCTGACTTGTCTCCAGCTCCCGGTGAGACCTCTATGCTCTATTCACTGGCACAGCAGCAAGACTTGCACAGAGCATACAGTGTAGCAGCTCAGCTCATGACTCAGCCTCTATGAGAGCCCAAGCTCCCTGCTCAACATGAATGCTCCTGTGTTGGCTCCCTGAGCTGCCTCTCCAGGCACACAAATGCAGTGCAGGCTGAGATGACTCATCCCTGTGCTGTGTCCCTGCGGGAAGGGAGTCAAACCTCTTGTTTCTCTGAATTTGACTTTGAACTCAAACCAGCTATGAAGAGCAGAACAGACAGCCATAATGGCCCTCCTGAGCTCCTGCAGCCTTTGAAAATGCTAACAACGCCCAGAGAGTCTTAAACCACCCACATCCTTCACCAGACAAGCTATGCTAATCTGTAGCAAAAAACATGAATCCTATTTTCTCTCTCTGCAAGGAGAGCTGGGTTCAGCCACCCAGAGGCCAGCAGTGACTATGGACAAGAAAGGCTAACTTTGCAGTGACCTTTGCAGCCCAAGATTGGGAACTTTGTTACTGTGGCTGCAATTCCTTTCTGACTTTGTAAAGAATAACTTGAAACTTCCATAAGAATTCTGAAGCATAAAGGCTTCCTGGTACATAGAGCTATCCTCAGGTTGTCAAGGGTTTGTCACCTGCAATAGTAAGCAGGCAGTTTCTTGCAACAAAGCAGTAGTTCTGCATTTACAATCATCAGATGATCCCAGTGCTACTAAAACGATGCTGCAGGGAGCCTGACACTGCAGTGACACTGTAAATACAGCTGAGCAGACAAGTGTTATTCCCTGGGGATCCCAGATGGGTGGAGTGAAAAACAGAGAGGTTTACCTTTCTGGAAAGGCAAGAAATAGTTGTTCTAAAGAGACTGCCTTCCTGCAGGGGTGCTGTCCTCTTGAAGGCTGTGAATCATTTGAAACCAGCAAGGGTTTCATTTACAACCTTGACCTATTCTGGTGTAGACCATGTTGAAGGCCACGTGGTGTTTTAAACGCACACACACGCAATCCTCAAATTCATTTTGTACCTGTGGCCATTTCTCAATATACGGAATCACCATCCTCAGTCTGGCTTCCACAGCATCTCTCAGGAATTGATCTGTAGGCTTCTTCCTACAAAGCACATCCAAGATAAACTCAATTATCAACTTGAGAGATCAATCATTTTCCCACCTCAGTGACAGAGATGCAAAGTATTACATATCCTCCATGCCTATAGTTCAACTCTCCATCTGGGAAGGTGGTATCGTTTGGCTAACTGACATTCTTTACTTAAAAGTATCCAGTGTGTCTGGGATGGCTAGTGCCTGCCAAGGAAGATGTCTCTTTATACCCAGTACTCACTCTGCCTCGCCCAGCTGCACTTGTTTTTGTTCTTCCTCCAGCAGGTCAGACAGCTTTGAGTTGCACTGAGACACAAAGTGCAGGATCAGCTCACTGCCGTCGCTGTGAAACATCCCTGCAGCAGCAGCAGAGAGACCAAGGGTCTGCAGGGAAAAGGGGAGAGGCACAGACCAGGTCATGCTAAGCAAGATCCAGCCATGTTGCATTTATTCGGCACGTGATGCTATATGATTTAAAACAGAACAATACTGCATTAAAAAAGCTCTTTCTGTATGTATTTTCCTCTCTTTAGATCACTATGTTGTGCCTGGTAATTCTGACAGTGTCACCCTGCATTAGTTGGGATTCATTCCTGCCCAGCACCATCTGCTGACATGGCCCAAGTGTATGTGGGGGAAGCATGCAGGCCTGGCTGTATTTGAACTTCAGTTCCATTGGTTCTTTGCTTCTCTCCCACATACCTTGGCTCCCTCTGCAATGGCTTCAGCTGTCCAGCCATGTTCAGGCACAAACTCCAGCGCTGCTGTGAGGATTCGATGCTGCAGCTGCTCCTCGCTCTCATAGTCCTCTGACTGCTGGCCGCCCTGGCCAGTGTAACTATGAGAAGGCATTGGTATAGTGAGGGAACATCGCCACCACGCACAGCAACCTGGGCTCTGCCAGCTGCTCGCTGTGTGTGGACATGTCCCAAGGTCTGCTCACAGCAGACATCTCACCTTCTCTTGTAAAATCCTTCCCTCTCCTTCCCAGGAAAGGGATTCCTAATGACCCTTCACCATTAGAGGAGAGGGAAATAAGGGAAAGCTCAATCCAGATAGTGACCTGGAGACCAAGTGGCCTCAGATAACCCACTTCTTAAAAAAAAAATAATAAATAAATACTAAACTAACTCTAGGTTTTTCCAGCGGGGCCTTTAGTAACACATGTACAGACACCAGAACTGCAGATTTACACAGAAATCCAGCAGTGAGTGCTCCCCCATGAATGCAAGTCCCATCCCAGGTCCTTGATGGATGGTGGCATTGGAACTGCCACAGTTGCTTGAGGCCAAGGCCACGTTAACCCTACAGGCAGCACCAGAGGTAGACACAGAGAGCTCTGAGCAGCACTACAGAGAGCAGCTGAGATACCTGGACTGTGGGTTCCACGCCTCCTGCTCCGGGTGGGGGTCTGTTTGTTGTGGGTCATACTGCTGCTGCGTGGAGGGTGATGGTGGTGGGTCCTTCCTCTGCTCCTCTGAGGCTCTTCTCAGTGCAGCTGAGGCATGGAGGCCCTGCTGGGGTGCATACAGCTGGCACCTGAGTCCTGAAAGGGAAATCAGGGCTGGGATGTGTCCCTCCAACACAAGGTAAAATCATAAACTCACAGAATGGCTTAGATTGGAATGGACCTTAAAGATCATCCAGTTCCAACACCTACTGTAAGCTGGTTGCCCCCCTGAGCTCAGGCTGCCCAGGGCCCCATCCAACCTGGCTTTGAACACCTCCAGGGATGGATGGGGCACCCACAACTCTGGGCTCTGAGTAAAGAATTGCTTCCTGACATCTGACCAAAACCTAAACCTTCCCTCTGTAAATTTAAAGCCATCCCCCCCTGTCCTATCGCTATCACACTACATAACAAGTCACAGAATCACAGAATGGTTTGGATTGGAAGGGACCTCAGGATGAAGTTCCAACCCCCTGCCACATGCAGGGCCACCAACCTCCACATTTAATGCTACACCAGGCTGCCCAGGGCCCCATCCAGCCTGGCCCTGAACACCTCCAGGGATGGACGGGGCATCCACAGCCTCTCTGGGCAGCTGTTCCAGCACCTCACCACTCTCATAGTACAGAACTTCCCCCTGACATCCAACCTAAATCCTCCCTCCCTCAACTTAAATCCATTTCCCCTTGTCCTGCAGTTATCTGCCCTTTCAAAGAGTTGATTCCTCTCCTGTTTATAGGCTCCCTTTAGGTCCTGAAGGCTGCAATGATTCACTCCGCAGCCTTCTTTTCTCCAGGCTGAACAAGCCCAGCTCCCTCAGCCTGTCTTTGTAGGGAGGTGCTGCAGCCCTGCTCATCTTCGTGGCTCTCCTCTGGGCCCTCCCCCCCAGGCTCTCTGTACTGGGGGCTCCCAAGAGCAGAGAGGCGGCGCCCTGCTCTCCCCGCCGCACGCCGTCGCGCTCGCAGGCAGTGACGCGCAGCCCCTGCGACAAACACCGGGAAACCCCGCAGCTCCACAGCGCCCCCTCGCGGCCCCGCTCCGCTGCCCTTCACCTCACCTTGCCCCGCCCCGGCCCCGCCCCACGCACGGCCACGCTCGCGACCCCACGCGGGCACGCGCCCCCCTCCCACCCCCCCCCCCTCCTTCCCCCTTCACCCGTCGCGCGCTCCCTCACCCGCGCGGCCCCGCCACAGCCGCCAGCCCGCACGCCGCAGGCTGCCTGCCGCCGCCGCCGCCATCTTGGAAGCGGGCAGCGGCGGTGACGCACGCGGCGGAGCGTGATGACGTCAGAGCGAGACGGGGGCGCCGGGGAGCGGGTGGAGGTGAGCGGGACGGGGCTGCGCCGTGCGGGGGGCTGCGCCTCAGCGCTGCGTTGTGGCGGCTCTCGTGAACGCCGCGCTCCGTTCCTCGCCGCCGGCCGGAGATGGAGGAGTTCGGCATCGCCGCGGGGCAGCGCGTGGCCGTCGTCTGGGACGGGTCGTCGCCGGTGGGAGCGCTGAAGCGGTTGGTGGATTCCGTCCGGGCCTCGGTGGGAGCTGACGGTCGTGTGGCCGTGGAGAACGTTAACCAGCTGCCTCGGTGTAAGGAGCACCTCGGGTGTCACAAGGAGGAGGGAGTTCTGTTTTCTGGGCTCGTGTGTGCCTGGCTTGTAAGTCAGCGGCCGTGCTGAACTCACAGCTGGCAGCGCAGCAGTGCAGTACAGCAATGTAGTGCAGCAGTACAGCAGTACAGCAATACAGCAATGTAGTACAGCAATACAGCAGTACAGCAATACAGCAATGTAGTGCAGCAATACAGCAGTACAGCAATACAGCAGTATAGCAGTGTAGTACAGCAATACAGCAGTGCAGTACAGCAATGTAGTACAGCAATACAGCAGTACAGCAATACAGCAGTACAGCAGTGCAGTACAGCAATATAGTGTAGCAATACAGCAGTGCAGTACAGCAGTACAGCAATACAGCAGTATAGCAATGTAGTACAGCAATACAACAGTACAGCAAAACAGCAATATAGTATAGCAATACAGCAGTACAGCAATATAGCAGTATAGCAGTGTAGTACAGCAGTACAGCAATGTAGTACAGCAATACAACAGTACAGCAATATAGTATAGCAATACAGCAGTACAGCAATGTAGTATAGCAGTACAGCAATACAGCAATATAGTATAGCAGTACAGCAATACAGCAGTACAGCAATACAGCAATGTAGTACAGCAATGTAATACAGCAGTACAGGAGTACAGCAGTGTAGTACAGCAGTGTAGTACAGCAGTACAGCAATGTAGTACAGCAATGTAGTACAGCAGTACAGCAATACAGCAGTACAGCAATACAGCAATACAGGTGTGTTCCCTGCTGGTGTTTCAGCCAGCACTGCTGTTCAGTTTGGGGCATCTCACTACAAGAAAGACACTGAGGCCCTGCAGTGTGTCCAGAGAACGGAGCGGAGCTGTGAGGGTCTGAGCACAGCTGTGGGAGTGGCTGAGGGAATGGGGTGGTCGTTTGGAGAAGAGCTGGTGGATCTGACAGGAGGATGTGGGGAGGAGCCAGCCTTTCTCCCAGGTAACAGTGATAGGACGAAAGGTAACTTCTTTGAGTTGTTGAGAGGAGGTTCAGGTTGGTTATAAGGAAAAAGCATCTTCTCAGAGCAGTGATTCACTGACATGGATTCCCATGGCGGTGGCTGAGTCACCATCCCTGGAGGTGTTCAAGAAATGTGGATGTGTAATACTTAAGGACGTGGTTAGTGGGCAGTATTGGTGGTAGGCAGACAGCTGAACTAGTTCATCTTAGAGGTCCTTTCCAACCTTAATGATTCTGTGATTCAGTTACTGCTGTCATAGATGGGTACAAGAGATGAGGGGAGAGGCAGAACTGATCATTAAGCAAAGATTTATGAGTGTGTATGTACATAAAATTGTACTGTCTTCATCTCTCCCTCTGCAGCTGCTCACAAGGAGTCCAGTTTCGATGTGATTCTCTCAGGAGTGGTACCAGGCAGTGCAGCACAGCACAGTGCAGAGGTACTGGCAGAAATAGCTCGGATACTTAAGCCTGGGGGTCGTGTCCTCCTGAAAGAACCCGTGGTTACAGAATCAGGTAGGAGAATCTGCATCAGCCTTGCTTTCGTGGCAGCAAAGGAATTCCTGTGAGAATTAGGCTGAAATGAAGGGCAGCAGGAACACTGGCTGACATTCAGAGATTTTCGTTATCTTGAAATGCTAACGTGAATAGTAAAGGCTTTATCTTGTTTAAGACATGTAAAGTCTGGAGTAGATGGACTGTCTTATTTCAGAAAACACATCTGTCAGGCTGGAATTTTGGTGGACTTGGTGTAAAGTGTAATTGGGACTATTAAGAGGTGTCCAAGAGATGAATTCCCATGATGAATTTTGGTTTAAATAGTGACTAATAGCTTTGCCTGCTAAAGCAAGGCTCTGGAGTATTATAGTTTTGAATATAGCAATCATTTAGCAGTTCATGCTTTGAAAAATTCATGAGTTGTTCACTGCTATATGTGAAAGTGTTTGGGGGATTTTGTTGTTTTGTGTTTTTGGTGTGTGGTTTGTTTCTTTTTTTTCTTTCCTTTTAAAATTGATGTTAATTGAATTGAGGAGGGTTTTGGCACATGTAGAACAGATCTGGAGCTAGAGCCAACTTTATGTTCTCAAGCCACTATTCCAATGAACAAGCTGCTCTGTTTTGTTCTTACTTTTACTGGAGAGGGCCTGTTTTAGAGCTGTGGTTTGTGTACTTCTTTGTAAAGGTCTCTTGCTCTTCCAGGTTCCAAGTACCACATCTGTTTTTCAGTGACCACTATTCTTGTTCTTCTTGCTATTTCCTGCTTTTGTGTCTTCCAGATAACAACAGCGGAATCAAGACAGCAGCCAAACTCCCTGCAGCTCTGACTCTCTCTGGGCTGGTGGAAGTGAAGGAGGTGTGTTTGTACTTAATGCTTTCAGAATTCTCTCCTGCTGTTACCTAAAAGTAGACAAGGTAGCAAGGTGTTTAGCTGCCCTGCTTCACTGTGGATGTTCATGGATGCTGTCTGCCACAGTCTTTTCTTACTGCAAAAGTTCTTTAGGGTTGAAGATAGGAGTGAACCTGTCTTCTATCATGCCTGCTGGTTCACACCACGCTGATCAGCCCTTTGTATTGCACTGCAGCTGGGACTGACTCCTTCTCTGTTCTGAGGGATAAGCAGCTGGAGCCAGACATATCTGGTTATCTGTGTTCACAGGAGTAGTGGATGGGGCATTGAAATAAGGTGGCTCAGTGTGAGAGTAACCAAAGATCTTGCATTACAGCTGCAAAAGGAACCTCTGACCGCAGAGGAGGCCCAGTCAGTCCGAGAGCATTTGGGCTACCAAGGCAACGACCTTCTCATTGTTCAGATAGAAGGCAGGAAACCCAATTTTGAAGTGGGATCTTCAAGTCAACTCAAACTATCCTTTGCCAAAAAAACAAGTCCTTCAGGTAAGGCATGATGTATGCTGAATGTGGGAATTGCCCTTCTATGAAGGGACCAGCATCCCTGTGGCAGGGAGTGCCACATAAATATCTCTGGAGTGGGGCTTTCCAAAGTTGTCTGAACTTTCTCGTTGCTGGAAATAGATGGGGCAGTGGCTGGAGTACCTACTGCTTCTTATTTTGTTTTGGATCCAGGAAAACCCTCTGTGGACCCAGCTACTGCTAAGCTGTGGACGCTGTCTGCCAGTGATATGAATGACGAAGAGATGGTATCCATTTTTATTTGTGAGACCTTGCTGTCATTCCTTCTCTCTTTTCTACTCTAGCTAATTTTGGTCATTCCTCTTGGGAAGCTTTACAACTTAAGAGGTAGAAAAGCATCCCCAGGGCCAAATTTCTCAGCTGCTGTTTGAGGTGTTGGGTGCCCACAGGTGTGGTGAGAATTGAGGGAAAGGCATTGTTAAGAGGGAATGTTAGCAGTGCTAGTGCTACAATGAGTGGTATTTCTGTGAATGTAACAGCAATGTCATTCCCTACTAACAAGTTGATTTGTTGTGTGTTTTCTTCCATGGTATGTTCCAGGATCTTTTGGACTCTGATGAGCTGTTGGATTCAGAGGATTTGAAAAAGCCAGATCCAGCCTCTCTCAGAGCTCCGTCCTGCAAAGAAAAGGGCAAAAAGAAAGCCTGCAAGAACTGGTCAGTGTTGGGATTAGCATGTCAGTGTATCTCTTAACTCACAGCAATGAAACCTTAGAGTTGGATGTTTTTAAAAAGATTGTGGGAAAGCATAATTCACTTGGTTCGTGTCCTTTCCTTATCTTGGCTATCTGAATGTAAATCCAAACACAGTGAGAATTGGCTAGCTGTGCCAGAACTGCTACAAACTGCCATACTGCTATGATCAGCAGTCTTCTCAGAGGTAGCTACACAGTTTGCACAGCCTTCACTAAAAAATCCTATTCCCACTGGTTTTAAGGAGGAATAGTTTATGTAGCAAATTGCTTTAGTCATTTCCTTCTTGCTTCAGCTGGAGGAGTGTGCTTCAACACTTGTTTTGCAAACTGTGGTATTGGAGATCAAAGTGCAGAGCGTGAGAGTCCCAGTGCCAGCTGTGTTGTGTGACAGAGTGAGGGCTGTTGCATGGGAGCAGTTTTGGAACAAGGATTGTAACTCGTAGCTTTTAAATCAGAACGATGCAAGTGACTTCTTTATTTTCTACAGCACATGTGGCCTGGCTGAAGAGCTGGAACAGGAGAAGAAGAGCTCGCAGCCCAGATCTGCCTGTGGAAATGTAACTAGTCATTTTGTTTGTATATTGTGGTTTGCAGGGCGCAGCTTGTGTCTGAGAACAGTTTTCTCTGATGAGTGCTCCCTAAAGCAGCTCACTGCTTTTAAAATACTGCCTGCTTCTGCAGAGCTTCTGCCTTTACCATCTCACCTCTTAGAACAGCCCATGTGCTCTGCACCGGTTTGTTTTGTGCCTGCAGTGCAAGTGCCACCTTCACAGGAGGCATAGACAGTGACCCTGTGCTTCACTTGCCTCCTTAGGGAAGATCATCTGATGGGTGAACAGCTAGGGAGCTGCTAAAGCCCAGCACACAGCAGTGCCTAGGCAGAGCTGCCCTCCTGTTGGCCTGGGCTGAAAATTTGGTTTCTCTGTGTGAGTGCAGTGCCCTGCACCAGCTCTGTTACCTGCTAAAAAAGCACATGCCCAGAGCATGTGGGAGGGAAGTGGTTTCTGTGCTGGCATATGCTGAGGAGCAGGTCATTTCTCTAGGTGGAAAAAGCATATAACGGGAGGAGAGAACTGAGAGTTGCCATGATAAGTGTTGTTCTGTCTCTTGGCAGTGCTACCTGGGGGATGCATTCCGCTGTGCCAGTTGCCCTTACCTTGGGATGCCTGCCTTCAAGCCTGGAGAGAAGATCCTGCTAAAAGAGAACCAGCTGCATGATGCCTAAGAAAGTCATCTCTGAACGTCCTGGAAAGGACCTCTCTGCTTTTCCATCAGCCTGAGATAGAGGTTCTTCATACAGCTCTCCTTATCCTCTCAAACTCATGCTCTCCAGCCGATACTCCTCGTGGGGAGGGATGCTGTAGGAATTGACACTGCTGTGAACTCATCACACGTAATCAACTTTGGGCTAAGAGATAATCTGTGGTGGCCAGTGGTCTTGTATGTATTAGACTTCTTAATGTTAAGCCTTATTGTAGCTGACTCAATACTGAGACGCTGGCCGTCCAGCATGTCCCACCAGCAGAGGGAAGTGGAATTGTCAGATTGGCCTTGTGTGCTGTGGTAAGGGCCTCACCAGTACTTCCCCAGGCACACATTGCTCCTTACCCTTAGTTTACATTGTGCATCAGCAGCTGTGGCTCAGCTCTCAGGGTGACATTGGGCTCCTTATATTTTTAAAATTTGAACCTGAAATTCTTTACCAGGTGAAGGTTACTCAGCAGCTCCTGTTGCAAGTCAGGAGCAGCAAGTACTCTGCTGTGTACTCCTTGGTAAACTCTGGCAGGCATGATGAATTTCCAAGTGATTTGAGGTGTCATCCCCCTCCATCACCTGTTTCCATCACAATGACAAAGATTCACTCCCACTGAGATAACTGCTGCCCTTAAGGCAGGGAGAAAATTAACTTTGTCCTCCCCCATCTCTGACCAACAAAAACACAAGGGCAATCTGAGACCATCGCCTCTCTTGCTGGTTATCAAGTGAATTACCTGCAGTGTCCAATAAGTAAGAACATAGCAATAATTTAATTTCTGGTTGATTCTGACTACTCTTTATTTATTTGCATTCTTACTGCTAATAAAGCATCCTCACAAGTGCAGGATGAGGGAGCTTGTGGTGCTCTGTGCCAGGCTTTCTTCTCACCTCGGGAAGGAGAGGAGGAAAACACAACTTGCTCTACAGGATGCAAATTCTTGTCATTGTCCTTCCTCAGTTGCACAATAAACTCATGTAGGGATCTGGGATGAAAAGCTGTTCTGTTCTTAAAATAAATGTGACCAATAGTCTAGCATTTGTGTTAGAACTGGTATCAGTGACATTTTAAACATGTTTCTTCTTTTACTTGGTTTCTGCTCGCTCCCCTGAGCTTGGGGCCATGAGGGACTTCTGGAAGCATTTCAACGTTGGCTTGCAGAGTGCATCTTGAAATTCCACAAGAATTGTTCTACTGAAAGTTTGACACAAATACATGGTCCCTGTTAGGAAGAACAGAATCAAGATGTTGAGATTCACTTTTTAAATTTGAAATAGATTTCAGAAAGAGCCTTACTTCTGGTTGAGTAAGAGAAGGCTTGCAGGCTGACATGAGCATGAGGGAGTCCTTGAGGTGGGCAAAGCCTCAGTGGATCAAGGGGCAGATACTGCTGTGCACTCTGTTGTACTCTGCTTACCTGGGAGCCAGGTTGGTGGAGTGACCTCCAACGTCCCTTCCTCACCCTCCTCCCAAGTCTCTGGTTCTTGCTGAACAACTCCCAGGGAGCCTCAAATCCTGCAATAAACCTTCTGTCCAGCAAATCTGTGAGTGCTCCCATCTTGCAAGCAAAAGAAATAGGTAAAAGCCTTTACATGTCGATGACTTAAAGGATTTCAATTGCTTTTTTTTCAGCCTCACTGGCAGTGGAAGATCAATTGCTGTGATCAGGAGAAATAGGACTGACAAAGCTGGTATAAATCCTTTCATGGGCAAGACTGTTGTAAGAGATGGGTCCCCTGAAATGCTGTGTCTCCTGGAGCAGTGGGAGTACAGCATGCCTTCCAAGCCAGAAGCTGAGTTTTTACTTTGGTAAGGTCGCAGATAAAGGCAGACCTTGAAGTGAGCTCTGCTTTCCTTTCAGGGGCAAATAAGATAAGAGAGGGTGGAGGTGGCAGAGGCTTTTGTTTCATGATGATTCCCGAGACTGGAATTTAAACAATCTGGAAACACTTTCAGATACTGCAGAGTTCAGTTAATGATGGTTAAGACTGTATAATCTTGTTCTCTTCAGACAGCATGGCTTGTCTTTGCTGCCTGAGAGGCCCTCAAATGGGGACAGACTTTGGCAGTGGGATATCTGCTGGGTGGAACTATACTGCCATCAAGCTGGTTCTGAGGAGTATTTATCCTTTTGGTCCCCTTCCCTTGAAAACCTGAAGGTTTTTGAGAAAAAAAGTGGATGTTGCACTGAGGGACATTGTTAGTGGGCATGGTGGGGATGGGTTGGTGCTTGGATGATCTTAGTGGTTTTTTCCAGCCTTGATTCTGTGCAAGTGGGTGGGATGCTTTGCCCACAGATTAAAAACCCCATCGATCTGATGGACAGAAGACAGCTGCCAAGCTGTACAAAGTGAGACCTGGGAATTCTCTGCCTGTCTTCAATCATTCCAGTTATGGACTTGGAGCTGCAGCAAGCATATGGATCTGCAGGGAGAGGCCCCAGTGTGGGTGCATGAATGCCTCTCTCTGCCTGGCTTGCTGTGGTTGCGTGGTTTTCAGTCTCCAGCCATGCCTGAGGATTTTTGCTGGCTTCTCTGCTCTGCTGCCTCCCTCCAGTGGCTGTGCTCTGGCTCTCCTGCTCCAGGTCCTGGTGCACAGCAAAGCCCAGAGCTGTCAGCTGCTCCCACCAGCATCACTGGGGCTGGTGGTGGGCACTGCTGTCCTGGGGACATGGAAATGGTCCGGCTCTGTGCAGAACCTGGGGGCATCTGAGGGTTTTGTGCCCCATTTCCAGGGCATCAGGTGCACGGGTTTTCAAGACTCTTTCTTCACAGAGTGCGGTCAGGCATTGGAATGTGCTGCCCACAGAAATGGTGAAGTTCCCATTGGAGATATTTAAGGTACAAGTTGACAATGCACTGAGGGATGTGGTGCAGTGTCGGGACTCAGTGAGTCAGGCTGATGGTTTGAGTCATCGATCCTGAAGGTCCTTTCCAATCCAAATGAGTTTGATTCTATGAATCAATGGCTTCCTTGGCCTGAGCCATTTTCCTCCCCCAGCCTCTTCCTCTTCTGACCCTTTTACTGCTTCCTCTTATCATTTCATCACTCTGCTTCCCTCCATCTTTCTGTTCTTCTTCCCAAATTCTCTTCTGTTTTCTCTCCCCTTTGCACATCAACCACACATAGCTCAGGAGCAATCCTCCTGCTTTTTGTTTTTCTTTGCTTTTCATTTTTTTCCCTTTGCTCTGGCTGGGTTTCCCTACTGTGATCCATTCCCTGCTCCACCCCATGTGGGTTCCCATTGCCATTCCCACTCTTAGGCATGGAGAGGTCCCTCTCTCAGCGTGCAGGGAGCAGGGCACTGTGTTTATCATCACTCCACGTTCATCTAAGCACTCATGCATGTGATGCATCCCGTGCGATGGCATCTTTCTGAGAACTGTAATTCTGAGCCTTGGTTCCAGATTTTAAAATACTCAATCTACAAAGGTCTCTGCGTTTCCTGCTTGCTCTTGCGAAAGCTCTTGAGATTTCAAGAGATTTCAAGAGATTTCAAGAGATTATCTCAGCCAGTTGCTCATGTTCTCATGGTAAGTAACTCCATGTCTTGCTTGCTTCTTTATTGGGGTCTTCCCTGGTTCTGGCTCGTGCCTGTGTGCCCCTTCTTTGTCTGACCCCTCCAAGCTCAGGTGTGAGATGGAGGCAGCATTCTGAACGCCTCCACTTCCTCCAGGTCACAACTTTGTGGTTCTTCCTCCTGGTTAAGCAACAAGCCAAACCTTCTCTTTGCCTTCCTCTTGTTTTTGATGCAGTTACACAAGCAGAGAACCTTTTGCAGTCTTCCTCGGTTTTAACTCATTTTGTGCCTTTACAATTTAGCATCCATCAGACCCGGTCACTTTTTAAGTACCACCTCCTGAGAGCACAGGAACACGAGGTTCCAAAATGTAGGAGGCCAAGCAAGTGAGCAGAAGGCCAGCATTCATGCCAGGGTACTAAGATGTCCTTGCAGGACCTCTCTCAGTTATTTTGCAATGAGAAGGGTGAGCTGATGGGTCAGGTTATAGTATATGGGGTTCCATCAGGCTGGTGGCCAGTCACTGGTGGGGTTCCTTAGGGCTCCATTTTAGGGTCAGTTCTCTGACACTAAGGCAGCCTGCTGGCCATGTTGGTAGTCAGGGCACACTGTTTGCTTGTGGCCAACTTAGTGCCCATCAGGACAGCTTGTTGTTCACATCAGCTTAGTGGACATGGTGTCGGGACAAAATTCAGTGACTTAAAGAAGACAGATGAGAAGGGACAGGTAGTTCTGGCAAGACTACCTGATGTAAGATGCTGATGTGAAACTAAACGGGAGAAAATGGCACTTGGGAGGAGGGTAGGAGGGAGCACAGCGGGTGCTGCTCCCACAGAGCCATGTCTGCTGGTAACAGGTTAACACAGGCCATGGCCAGCAGGAGCATCACTTCCTCTGTTGGATCCGTCCCCTGCTCGGAAAGGGCTCTGGGGTGAGGGGGATGGGGAAGTCCTTCCTCCTGTGCCCATGGGGTGTGCATGTCACCCATCCGTGCTGGGCACTGGGAGCAGTGGGGTGGAACCAGCAGCACACGTGGTGGGCTGAGGTGTGTCTGTGTCAGAGCCCAGGGCACGTGGCTGAGACAAGACCATAGATGGAATCAAGCAGCAGAGCGAGGGGATAAAACTGGGCTGAAGCTCACTTTGGGAACCCAAGCAGAGGGTGAGCCTCAGCGTGAAAAGGAACTGCTTGCGCTGGTGCTGGGAGGATGCAGCCTCCACCCCTCCACCGCACGTGATTTGGATGCTGGAGGTCTTCTGGAGCAGTGGCCAAAGAAGGAGCCATGAGCATCCTGGTGGTGAAGGGCATCCTGCCCCTGCTGCTCCTTGCCTGGCCGTCTGCTGGTGAGTGCACGTGTGTGCCCTCATCCTGCCTGGGAGGGGGTGAGTGGGGCACTGCTGCTGCCAGGGGACCTGTGGGCAGGCAGCTGGGTGGGCAGGCAGCTGGGTGCATCTGTTCTCAGCTCTGTTGGGGATGTGAGAGGATCTGAGGGCTGCAGCACCAGCCCCTCCAAGACTGCCTGCAGGGAAGTTGGTGTCTCTTTGAGCTTTTCTATCTGTGCAGCAATAACGCACTTGGAGGAAGTTTGGGACAGAGCTGCTTTTCTGCCCACCCTGTGCTCCTCCTGAAGCTTTTAACTCCCCTTAGGTGCCTTCACCACCGCCTGTGCCCAGCCACAGGAACACCAGACGGCTGGGGCAGAAGTAAGCCTGCTGCCTGGGGCTGGCATCCTCAGGGCCTCACAAGAAGGATGTGGGTATTTCACAGCACAAACCCAACTTCTCTGCTTCTTTTTCTGCAGGACTCACTCACCAGTGCATGACTTCTGTGTCCTTCGGGTCAGATCTCACCCTTCACTGTCTGCCAAAAAGCCGTGACAACAGGTTGGTGTGGTGTAACACCTTAAAGAAGATGGCAGAGAAAGGCACAGGGACTCATCTACATGGGGAAAATGGTTCTTCCAACCTCACCTTTACAATTGTGAATGAAAAGCATGCTGGAAATTACACGTGCAAGATGGAGACCTCATGCTATGAGGATACTAAAAAGAAGTGCCCATGCAAGAACAAGGCCACAGGTACTTATGGCACAAATGAGCCAGAGATGGGGGGTGGGCTGGTGTAGTGGGTGGGATGTGACTGCAGCTCAGAGGCTCAGGAGCAGCAGCTGCTGGAGGAGGGCACAGATATTAAATGCATGTTTTGCGAGCATGGTGGGATATATCTGCTGCAAGGCACAGCACTCGCTGTTTTGTTTCCTGCAGGGAACCTCCTGTGCGAGTTCGTGGTCTGGTCAGAGAATAAGACCATGCACGTGAGGTGGTGTCCAGAGCCTCCCAGTGACTCCTCGGAGGACAGCAAGGCATGTGACAGCAAGTCTTTTGGCAGCATGAATGCAGCCTGCACAGAGCCCACTACGTGTGCCGTGTCAAGCACAAACTTCAGAGGCACTGAAAATGCCACCCAAGGGATGGTTCCCAGTAAGTGACACCGCTTTCCCCCAGTGGGTGCTTCTGCCTCTGCCTGGCTGCTCACACATGTCCCTGCTTCCAGGCTCTGACCCCGGGATTTCTCCGACCCGTGAGCCTCAGACCCGGGAAGGTGAGCAACCACGGCTCCAGCACGGAGCTGGAGCCCAAACCTGGAGCCTGCTGTGGGGACAGCAGCTCACACACGTTCCTGTGCTCCTCAGGTCTCATGGCAATCATCTACCTGTATGCCATCCCGGGATTAGTGGTTGTGACTCTTTTCTTCCTGCTTTGTATGTTGGTGTGCCTGTGCAGAAGAAACCAAAGGAAAGCTAAAGGTAAGGCTGAGCCTGGGCTGTGCTGCTATGGGAGCTGGGGAGCATCTTCTCCATGGGCTTCTTGGGTGAAACAAGCTGTGGGAAACCCCAGCCGTGCAGGTGTTTTCTGTGTTAAAAATAACAGCACTCGATGTTATCTTTTGGTTTTTTTTAGGAACTCTTGAAAGCATGCATGCAGCAGAGACGAATCAGCTCAGCACGGTAAGGCAGCAAGAGCTTTTCATCTGCCACGTCCTCCCCTCCAACAAAAAACACTGAAAGGGCTTTGGGGCTTCAGAAACCTCTGTGACAAGCCAGGCTCTCCTGGACAGTAGGAAATAACTTATGCCAGTCCCTGGGCACTGCAGAACGGAGAGCCTAAGGCTCTGCTCACTGCTGTCTTCCTCTGCAGCCTCTCCCAGCACCTCCGACCGAGGACATGACGTATGCAAAGCTGATCTTTGAGAGCACAGGAGCAATACCTGCAGCCTCGGAAGTGGTGTACGCAGAAATAAAACCACTGCAAAAGAAGTAGAGAGCTGAGGATCTGCAGCAGGAAGAGTGAGAAAGGAGAGAAAGCAGCTGGTGACGTGGCTGCCACAGCTATGATCCTTGAAAACCAGGCATTAGCTCTTATTGAGTGCTTTGGGTGATGGATATGCTGGTAGAGCCCTGGAGCAGTGTTCTTCATTTCCTCACTGTGTCCAGATCCAGCATCTGCTGTGATGGATTTGGCTCTGCTCTGATTCACACACTTGAAACATGACAAGCAAAGGTATAAAGGCATCGTTTGCTGTGGAGAAGTGCAGCATGGATACATCCAGAGCAAACCAGTGACCGGCCGCCAGCCTGATGGAACCACATTCACCCCCTGAGCCTGACAAGTCAGCCAGTTGCTCACCTGTAATGTTATATTTTTTTGCTAGCTCTATGCTGGACATTTTGTCTGGAAGGAAACAGTGTCCAAAGCCTTACTGAAACCCAAAAAAGTTAACACTGACTGGTTTCACTTGATCAACCAGATAGGTAGCCTTGTTGTATGAGGAAATCAAGTTAATCCAACAGGACCTATGTAATATATATGTGTGTGTGTGTGTATATAAAATATCTTTTCTTTCTCCCTTTTTTCTTAGTAAATAGTTGATATCTCAATCCACAAGCTCTACTTTGTTTGCTGTGTTTTTTATCACCTCTGGGTGTTGGAGGAAGGTTATCATTTTGCTGTGCTGTGTGGCCCTGGCTTACAACACGCTGAAACTGCTGGCTGGGACAGCAATCAGGTGTTTGTGCTCTGCACTGCAGCCATCCTCGTGCTTTGGGAGCCACACTGTGGAGTAAGCAAATGCTTTGTTTATCTCCTTGGGAGCCAGGTTATGGGGGAGGCAATGGGGGATACTTTCCGTTGTTTCCTCAGCCTCTCACTTTTTCTCCTTCTCCTAAACCAGTTACAATAGCTGTTGGGAATGCTGATTATCCGTGGAAGATCTGCTATGTTACCCAGGGAAGCGGGTCACCATGGAGAAAGGTATCCAGCACTGAGGGAATTGGTGCTGGAGGTGGTGTTATCCCAAATCCAGGTGGGGTGAGGCTCCCTGTGAGCTTTGTGACAGAGGATCTTCCTCGTTGGACAAGTCCTACGGCTGTGGGAGATGAAGTGACACAAAACAAAAGGGAGCGTATAAACAGGAGGGTGGGAGGTGACAGGACAAGGGGAATGGTTTTAAACTGAGACAGCGGAGGTTTAGGTTGGATATCAGGAGGAAGTTTTTCACCCAGATGCTGGTGAGGCACTGGAACAGGTTGCCCAAGGAGGCTGTGGATGCCCCATCCCTGCAGGCATTCAAGGCCAGGCTGGATGTGGCTCTGGGCAGCCTGGGCTGCTGGTTGGTGACCTGCACACAGCAGGGGTTGGGACTGATGGTCATTGTGGTCCTTTTCAATCCAGGCCATTCTATGGGTCAGTGATTCTATGGGTCCCTATGCGCCCCATGGGTTCTCTGGGCAGCCTGGTCTGCTGGTTGGTGACCCTGCACATAGCAGGGGGTTGGAACCGGATGAGCACTGTGGTCCTTTGCAACCCAGGCCGTTCTATGAAAATGGGGCAAGGAGGGAAAGTGAAGCGCCCCTCCAGGCCACCACGGAGAGCGGAGCTGGCAGCCGTACGTGGCCCTTAAGAACAACAGGCGCTGCCCTCACCTCCAGCCGCCCTCCTATTGGCCGCCGGCGCCTCCCGTCTGCAGAAGTCCCGCCTCTCTTCCTTGATCCGCCTCGTGATTGGCCACACTTTCCCCAGACTCGGAAGCCGCTTAGGGCGCCGCCATTTTCTACGACTGCGCCTCGCCCCTTGGGCGGCCTCGGGCACGCGCGGTCCACACAGCGGCGCGGACTTCCGCATCCGCGCCTGCGCGGGCCCGGCCGCGCCGGGAGCGCGCCCGGCCCGGAGATGCGCGGGGCGGAGGCGGAGCGGGCGGGGTCCTCCGCGCCCCCGCGGCGGGTAAGGGCGGCTCGGGGCGGGGGGGGAGGAGGGTCGGCGGGGCGCTGCCTCGTGGAGCTCCTCGGGGCGGGCGCTGAGATCCGGGCGTCGGCAGGAACGAGCAGAGCGCCGCCTCGGCGCGGGCTGTGCGCGGCGCTGACCGCCTCGCTTTGCGTCCCGCAGGGGCCGAGGATGGAGCGGGAGGCGGAGGAGCGCCGCGTTCCCTCGCAGGTCCGCGCGGAGCGGCGTCCCTGAGCCCGGCGGGATGAAGCTGCCCGGGGTGGGCGTGTTTGGGGCCGGCGGCACCGCCCGCGTCCTCGTCCCCCTGCTGCGAGCCGAAGGCTTCTCCGTCGAGGCCGTGTGGGGAACGACGGAGGAAGAAGCGAGGCAGCTGGCCCAGGAGATGGGCGTCTCCTTCTACACCAGCCGCACCGACGACGTCCTGCTGCACCAGGACGTGGACCTGGTTTGCATCAACATCCCCCCGCCACTCACCCGGCAGATTGCTGTCAAGGCTTTAGGTACCTTTTTGCCTTTAGGCTTGGGCCGACGGCCCGGGTTTTGTCGTGCTCACAGCACGTCTTGTTAAGGTAGTTTTAGGTTGGGTGATTTCTCGAAGCCTGCCCCAAATCGATATGCAGACAGGTGTTAAGTTAGGCTTGGGGTTTCTGATGCTGTTGGATTTGTTTCTTTACAAAGCAGCGCTGCTCTTTGAGCCGTGCCATAGAGTGCCGTACCACAGAACGGCCTGGGTTGCAAAGGACCACAGTGCTCATCCAGTTCCAACCCCCTGCTATGTGCAGGGTCACCAACCAGCAGACCAGGCTGCCCAGAGAACCCATGGGGTGCCATAAGGCTCCATAGGGACTCATGGGGCACCATAGGGACCCATAGAATCATTGACTCATAGGATGGCCTGGGTTGAAAAGGACCACAATGATCATCAGTTCCAACCCCCTGCTATGTGCAGGTCACCAACCAGCAGCCCAGGCTGCCCAGAGCCACATCCAACCTGGCCTTGAATGCCTGCAGGGATGGGGCATCCACAGCCTCCTTGGGCAACCTGTTCCAGTGCCTCACCACCCTTAGAGTGAAAAACTTCCTCCTGATATCCAACCCAAACCTCCCCTGTCTCAGTTTCAAACCATTCCCCCTTCTCCTCTCACTACCCACCCAACCCACTTTGCACATCCTGAGCCAGTTTTGTTTAGCTTGCTGTGATTCAGCGCACTGGGGGAGCGCAAAATGAGGATGGGCAGATGGCAAGTGTGTTTTCTCTGAGTGTTCAGATCAACACAGTGATGTTTGTCATCAGGAAAGTCTTGGCTGCGAATGGTTGATGATAATAGGTTGGCGTTTTAGTAGCTTCCAGGCTGTGCTGTTTGCATACGTTAATTACTGACAGACATTTGTACACAAGCCTGGGTACAGCCCTGGCGTGGCAGGGGTAAAGGAGTAAGCCTGAACTGAGTTCATGAACCAGATCAAAGCCCAGAACATAATTCAAATGAAGATGAGTACAATCCTATGGTTTATCTCCATAACAAGCAAAGCGAGAAGCTCTTCTAAAATTCGTGCTTCTTTTGATCTCAGAGGAACTAAAACGCCAGCTTTGTGGTGGATGTCCCCCAGCAGAAATGCATGCACCTCAATATGGGGGGAGCCTGGGGCTGAGTTCAGGCTGAGGGGACGTGGTGGGTGATGTGTGCTGCAAGGCTCAGCAGGCAGAGCATCAGAAGCCATCTCTCCATCTCTCCTCACACTGGGAGCCCAATGTGCAGCCCAGCCTTGTGGTGCCTCCTGGATTGGCTGCAGAGGAACTTTCCATTTATCTCTCTTGATTTACATTGCTCGGGGAGTCTTTCCAAAGGAGATTATTTGGCTCTCTGGTTTCGTGGAGTCCCTGCAGATTATAGCATGGATATGTTAATTGTGGAGGAAGGAGTCAGAAAGGGCTCTTATCATTGCTCTGTCCTGGGACAAACACATGTTTCCTGTTCTTGAAACAGGGTAAACAAGCGTGCTGTGCTCTTTGCATGTTGTGCTTTCCATCTCTGTGACCAGTAGCACAGAGGTCTTTCCAAACCACATGCAAACAAGACGTGACACGAAGGAATGTGTTTTGGAACGAGCTTCCATTTGTTGAGAGGCTGCTAACCAACAGCTGCTTGTTTGTGAAGGCTCCTTGGATGCTCCCAGTGTCGTACAGTGGACGCAGCAACGCTCTGCTGCTTCAGCAGTGGTTTAGTTGGGCAGTGGGTGCAGCCTTGGGTGCTTTACTAAGGGGAGTCAAGAGCTGGGGCTTCCATCTGATGGTGTGGATGTATTCACAGAAGGTAGATGGCTTTAGTGGTTGGAGTCAACGTTATAACTTGTGCTAAGAGTGACAAAGCTGAGGAGTGGGTTTCGCTAGACCAACCTGATTCTGGATAAGGACAAACCTAAGATAGGTCTTGGGGAGTAAGACTGACTCTCTGGTGTCCCAGGAGGGCTTCTGTGGTCCGCAGTGAGAAGTTTGCTCCGAGCTGTGTGTGGAAAAGATGCTGAGGGCTGTGGTAGGATGGCTGCCATGATGGCTGTGTGGGGCACCTTGCGTGTGCCTCCATCTCCCCACCCCTTCCCAGTTGGAAGATACCAGGTGTTCTTTTTCTCCTAAAACCAAAACACAGCATCATACCAGACGCACTAAGGAAAAATCACAGCATGGCTTAGACTGGAGGGGACTGAAAAGGCCAGCCAGTCTGTGGCAGAGTTGCACACCAACCAGCTCAGGCTGCCCAGAGCCCAGTCCAACCTGGCCTTGAATGTCTCCAGGGATGGGGAACCCCCAGCTCTCTGTGCAGTCTGTTCCAGTGCCTCACCACCTTCTGAGTTAAAACTTCTTTCCTGACATCTAACCTTAATCTCCCTCCTGTTATAATTTTGTATTCTGTGCACAGGCCACCAAGTACCTTCAATTTCTATTAATCTGTTAATAAATTCATAGTGATGGTAAAATATAAAATCAAGCCTCCGCTCGTCTCGAGTGCATTTATCTCCGTGATGATATTTTTTTCCTCTGGCTGCACAGCCGTTCAAATGATTTTATAGCTGCAGCACTTCAATGGCATAAAAACCTGTCAGAGTTCATCCGCCGTGATGTAAAAATCCTCTCTTTATTTGGAGCTCTGTGGGTGTTTGTCAGCTCTGAGCATCTTGGAAGCACTTGGAGTCTTGCCGCGCTTAGCGTTCCTATTTTAGTTCCCAGATCTTTGCTTTTGAAAGCCTAAAAACTGCAGCTTCCTGGCAACCTTGGGGGCTCGTCAGCATTTCTTGCTCACGTTTTGTGGTGTTTGTGTTGCAGGAATAGGGAAGAACGTGATCTGTGAGAAAGCTGCTACCTCCGTGGACGCCTTCAGGATGGTCACAGCTGCCAGGTATTACCCCAAGCTGATGAGCATCGTCGGCAACGTCCTCCGTTTCTTGCCTGCCTTTGTGAAGATGAAGCAGCTGATAGAAGAGCACTACGTGGGCAACGTGATGATCTGCGACGTGCGGGTTTACGGGGGCAGCCTGCTCAGCCACAAGTACAGCTGGATCTGTGACGAGCTGATGGGGGGAGGAGGTTTGCACACCATGGGCACGTATATCATCGACCTGCTGAGCCACCTCGTCGGCAGGAGGGCGCAGAAGGTCCACGGCCTGCTCAAGACTTTTGTGAAGCAGAACACGGCCATCAGCGGGATCCGCCACGTCACCAGCGATGACTTCTGTTTTTTCCAGATGCTGATGAACGAGGGTGTCTGTTGCACTGTGACTCTCAACTTCAACATGCCCGGATCGTTCGTTCACGAGGTCATGGTGGTGGGGTCCAGCGGGCGCCTCGT